TTTGAAGCTATATCCTCAAGATAAATGAATTTCATGTGCCTAAAGAAAACTATGATCAATTCTAGAGTTGCATGCTATATAACAAATTTTATTCTATAGTATTTATAATTTCTGGATACAAATAACTCTTCTTCCATCACATTTGCTTACAGTCATCCAGCTCATTTTTATGTTCTTCAATATTCTCCAAATAATATCTTTTCCACTTGCTGTTCTTGGACTCTGATCAGTATCAAAACTAAATCCCAATTTGTTTTCAGTTCTTATGCTGATACACATTTCATATTGGATGTCTTACAGGATTCGGATATGGTAATCATGACAATCCAAGCTTCTCAATCAATGAGAAAATTACTTTTAGTGAAGGAAATAATACGCTGGATATGTTGAGTATGATGGTTGGTCTTCAGGTAGATAAAAAGTTCCTTTCTTGTTATATATCATGGAAAGAACTACTTAATTTTAAAACCTTTTTGTTTCCATATGCTTCAGAATTATGGGCCATGGTTTGATGTTCAAGGAGCTGGAATTTTTTGTGTAGCTCTTGTAGAACTAATTAAAGGCAAGAGGAATGACCTTTCTTCAGGAACATGGACCTATCAGGTTAGAGTCTGTATGTTAATTAACTAGTCTTTTGATATAATGGATGTCTGTTGCATATCCCTGGCAGAATTACAACACACCTTTGTGAGATTAATGTAGATGTTTGATTATTATATAAGCATGAGCAGATATCACCTAGGCTTACCTATTTCTTTCTTTTCAGGTGGGACTTGAAGGGGAGTTTCTTGAACTTTATAATGTTAGTCTCGCAAATAGTCCACTGTGGAAAAATGGGACTGATCAACCAGTTAATAGGACTTTTCAGTCCATCCAATTATCCTTGCATTGTGGCTGACTGGCTATTTCCCACCAGATAGACATTTCATCTGTACCATTTAATTAAAGCATGTCAAAATGGAATATGATTCTAGATCTTGATTAACTGCCCCCTTCAATTCACTTTTTGAAAGTAATCTTCCTTGGAGGTTGAACCGAATGCTAACTCTAGACCACAGGATTCTTACCATTGCTCTTCTGTTTCTTGTCATCAGGGTACTTCCTTTGCTCCTGAAGGCAATGATCCATTGGCCCTAAATCTTTCAAGCATGGGGAAGGGTCAAGCCTGGATTAATGGACAAAAGCATAGGGTGAGATTGGCCTGCGTATCTCTCGCCATCAAATGGTTGCACTAAGAATTGTGATTACAGAGGCACCTATGATGCATCTAAATGCCAAAGGAATTGTGGCCAGCCTGCTCAAACATTGTAAGATGGACAAAAGACCTGGCTTTAATCTTTAATCTTACCTGAACTTCATTTGTATGATCTGTTCTTCAGTCTTGCAAATCATGTTGGTAATTTGTTAACTTCAAGAACTTTTTCATCTAGTGTATAATTAATCGGTCACGGATACTATTGAGACTTCTCATACATAAACTACAATTATGAGAGAATAATAAATTTTTCCAGGTATCATATCCCATGCACTTGGGTGAATTCAACTGAGAACTTGTTAGTTCTCCGTGAGGAGCATGGTGGTGACCCGACAAAGATTTCTGTGGTGGAACGAACTGGTCAAGAAATATGCTCATTTTGTATCTGAGACTGATCCTCCACCAGTCGATTCTTGGAAACCAAACTTAGAATTCATGTCTCAAAGTCCCAAAGCTCGACTGAAATGTGAAAGAGGATGGCACGTCACTTCAATTAAATTTGCCAGTTTTGGATCTCCTGAAGGAAATTGTGGTACATTCAGCACAGAGATCTGTCATGCAGACATATCACCAATAGTTAAAAAGGTAACGAGGGCCTTTCTTTGCTAATATATAAGTTATATCTGCCAGCCACATTCTCCTTGTCTTGTTCATGCTTCAACAGATTTTCTCTAACCCCCTTTGTTCACGAGTTTAAATGGTATTACAGGGCTGCATTGGTCAGGGGGAATGCTCAATATCTGTCTCCACAGCTCTCCATAGCTAATCTTGGCGACCCTTGCCTAGGAATTCCTAAAAGCCTTGCAATTGAGGCTCTGTGAAGTAACTGAAAATTCCAATATCGTTGTACAAAAGGGAGGTTTTCTCCTTTACAAATGAAGGGGTTAAAAGAGGATTCCTACGTGAAAATACTCCTTTCCAACTACTACTGGAGCACCATGATGTATATTTCTATCTGGCGCAATTTTAGCATTTAAACAATCATATTCAAGTATTGTTCAGTTCAGAGATGAGGCAGCCTCACACAAAAAAAAGCTTTGAAATCATGAACTACGGGCCGCGAGGTAATATAACGGAAATGCTTCCCAATTAAAAGGAGCAAAATAAAACATTCATATTGATATTTGTACATAGAATTAAGACAAAAATAGATAAGGAGGAAAAACCAGTTCAGATTTATGTTTGCAACTTCGTACAGGGTAATTTGAATGCCGGTCCAGTATGAAATAAAAACCAGGCTCCAAACTAGATGTTGAAACACACACTTTTTTTTTTTTGAATTGAAAGATTAAGACATACTTAGAAGAACAAGTCATCTTTTTTGTACCATTTTTATTTACTTTTCAATAAGAAGTTCTAAATGCTTATCCCCATTACCTCCCTTCAGAATCTCTCTGGCATCATGGAATGAGTAGTATCTTGCCAACATGGTCGTTACTTTCCATGAGCTGGTGAGCCTTAGCTGCTTCAGATAAGGGAAAAGACTTGAAGATGACAGGTTTCACCTTGCCAGCTGCAATTGCGGGCCAAACATTCTTCTCCACTTCACCAACAACCATTGCTTTGTTTTCTGGATCTCTTACTCGCAGGCCAGCCCCTGAACATAGAAGCACCCAAAGTGTTGAGCCACAAGACAGAATTATTACCACAATAAGTAGTCACTAATATATATAGCTGATATGGACAACACATAAAAGCATGATGATGATTGAATAACATTATTATAGTGGAAAAGAAGTGTAGGATAAACTGGGAGGTCTGGTGGGGATGGATGGGTGCAGATGTGTTTTCTAATGATGCTTTCTATTTACTGTTTATATCCTGCAGTACCTTGCACAGTGAGGCGCTTAGGAAACAAAGTATTAAGTTTTATTTCTGTGACTGCTCCACTCTGCAAGCCAATAATACAGAGCCTTCCATCAAAATTTAAACTGTCCAGGTTTCGGTGAAGGTAGGCTGCTCCAACACAATCCAGAATTACATCAACACCTGCATTTAACATTCATGAGTAACATTCATAAGTATGCCTTTCAAAATGGAGAACTAATAAGTCTTGATTCTAGGGCCATAATGTGTAAAACTAAAGTTGATTCATGAAACTGGAGAACAAACCTTTGCCTCCAGTCTCTTCCTTAACACGTGTTACAAAGTCCTCTGTCTTGTAATTGATGCACACATCAGCTCCAAGGTTCTTGCAAAAAGCCAGTTTTTCTTCACTTCCTGGTGATCAACAGTTGACACCTAAAAAGGTGAGGATACATTGGGGCAAATTTTACACAATAGGATTAAAATCACAGGTTAACCTGCAGTGACAAACACTTTTGCTCCTTTTTCCTTCGCTATCTGTATTGCAAATGTACCAATTCCACTCGAACCCCCATGAATCTGGAGAAAAACAAAATAGATGAGTACACAGACAATAAGGAGACAGACAAAAATATTGTATACATAGTTGAACATTTTCTTTTGGCAGCACAGATAGCTGTTTACATATGGCAAAAAATTATTCCCATTGTAGCTACAGAGCTTAACTTGTATGTCTCAGCTGGTTGACACAAGGACAAGAAAATCAAGTAACATGACAAATAGAATACATTTGAATGTAAGATAACACCTTTACTATAGAGACAACAGGAAATTGGAGGAACATCACTTCAATAAAATGGACAACAAATCAAGTGCTTGGGGCATCAAAAAGTATTAGAAAGGGATTCAGGCAGGTTCAGATAAAATATTTAATGGCATATGCAACCAATCAATTGAATACTTCATCAATATCGGTCTTCAACTCAATTGCATACTTATTTACTTTTTGGATAAAACGTAAAGTATTTTTTATCCAGTAAACTGTTGTCTGTACATAGAGCAGCTTAAGCTGCTACAATAAAAAAGAAGACTATAACCAAAAAAATTTTTCATCTACAGCTATACTAGTGTATTTTGTACAATGTCTTTAAGCCCCCACTATGTAGCAATGCACATGGGCAGTGAGGAAGATTTGGAACTAATCCCAAAATCTTATACCTAACGAAAAAAGGAATTTCTCTAACAATCTTATGTCAAGGACACAGAATGCGTACTTATTTAGCTTTGCACCTCTTCAATTTTTTAACATGCAGGTAAGTGGTAGCCTCTATTACATTTTTACGACATAGTTAAGCAAGAAAACAACATCATTGATTTTGATCTACAGTTTTGAGTAATAGCAGGCCCAGTAACATACAACACGGCACCAGAAACTTCAAAATAATTGAATTATCACTTGCTTCCAGCAACGCAAACAATACTCAGAATTGGACTAACATAATCCACATCAAACAATCAATCAGCAAAATCCACAGGTTCAGAAGCTACCAAGAATGTCTCTCCAGCAGATAGACGACTCATCATGAAAGCAGTAGACCAAACAGTGCAAACCACCTCAGGTAGACCGGCAGCATCCTTTAGAGCAATACCAGGAGGTATGGGAAGAACTTGTGCAGCAGGAACTGCAACTTTCTCAGCATAGCCTCCTCCACTGAGAAGAGCACACACCTGTACACCACAGATTGTCACCTAACATAATGTACACTAAAGTTCCTGCCTCTAAGGTAAAATTATATTTCCTAGTACCCTCCACTAAACTTGGTTAAGTTTGCAAAACAAGCATCTACCTTTAAGCTAAAAACTAATTGGGAGGAAGATTAGCAATGAAATGTTGACAAAAAAGGTATGAACAAGACAAGCAATTGTATTCACCCAAGGCAAAATAAAGGAGAAAGACGCAAAATTTAAGTAAACCCATGACAGATACAAGTTGTAAGAAGCGATAAAACTTCAGTTCCCGAGCAACAAAACAGAGTTGAAAGTTGCGAGAAAGCTAATCACAGAATCAAATTTCTCTGAAATGAGAGCAGTACCTACCTGATCACCTACTTTCCAACGAGAAACGTTCTTCCCGACGGCGACGACGGTGCCGGAACATTCTAGACCCAGGTAGGGGCTGGCCCCCTTGGGGGGTGGATACGAGCCCTTTCTCTGTAGAGTATCGGCCCGGTTTAGAGCGGTGGCCTCCACGTTAATGAGGACCTCACCGTCTTTTACTTGTGGGTCTTCTACTTCTTGCAGTTGCAGCACCTCCGGCCCTCCGGGCGTTGTTATCACAATTGCCTTCATTTTTCTCTGACTGACCTTTGATCGAAGAAAAATGAGATGATGAGACTGCTCTGCATAAAGAACTGAACTGGATAAATGCAAAATTTGACTTTTACCGAAAAAAAAAAAAGAAAAAGAAAAAGAAAAAAGAAGAAGCAAATTTTGACATGAATTTTTTCTCTATTTCCCTTTTTTCTATTTTTCATTTGTTAAAAGTT